AGGACACATCAACTGTCTGAAAATAGCCTGTCACATATTCCTATTTTGAATCTTTAAAAAACGAATTTTAAAAAGCCAGAGCTACATAATTTTGATAGGATAGATCTGCTACAGAAATACACACATCATTTCAAAATGTTAATAATTAGAGGTTAGCTTCCTCTTGGGGCTATAGTCGGGTATCAATGTCAAACATATTAAGAATGGCTGTCATTTAAGCATTGAGCATGGTTGCTGGCAAGTGGCCCTGATAGGCATGAAGGAAACTGTGAAGTCCAAAAGGCCTTGCCAAGTCCCCCTTGAAGGCCACCGTGCTGAAGTCCCACAGGATGCCTGTTGGGAGATTTTAATACTTTCCTTCTTAGAGTCTCAGAATTGGCTTTACTCAGAGCTCCTATTTAAAGGAAGCATCGATACCTACCTCACGTTACTGTTCAAATGCTCTCAGTCTTAAAAGCCGCAGGTTATTAACTATAGACACACATGACAGCAATGAAACATTTCATTCCAAGTTCCAGCTTTACTCAGAGCTCCTATTTAAAGGAAGCATCGATACCTACCTCACGTTACTGTTCAAATGCTCTCAGTCTTAAGAGCCGCAGGTTATTAACTATAGACACACATGACAGCAATGAAACATTTCATTCCAAGTTCCATTTTATATGAAAGCACTTAATGCTTAGTGCAGGGTGAAGGCGATGCTACAAAGAATGAGGTGTTTAGAAAGCAGGAGAGATGACAGCTGTAGTCATAAGACAGTAAGATCGTGGGTAAGGAGTTAGCAAACTGAAGTTCCTGTGTTGGCAAAGTGATGGAGACGGTGGGAGCAACGGTGACTTATAGCATCTTGTGTTACCAGGACTAGCACCAAAAATGAGGCCAAGCTACCACTTACTAGGGATGGAAGGCCATTCCTTCCTGGGAGTCTTTTCTTTATTTTTACCAAAAAATGATCTCACTGGGTATTGAATACTGGCCCAATTTTTGATTAGAATATTTATACAAGTGCAAAATTTCTGTCTTTAGCAATTTTTAATCGGCCAAAAAAGTTAAATATTTTCAAATTTGAAGGAAATAGTCCTCTCCTCCTTAGCTCTTGTCCTAGCTAACAAATTTGCATGCTATAAGTCATGTCCTTTATCGTGGAAGACAGCCGTGTGAACAGAATGGCCATGGAAGTGCTCAGCAATTAAACCCACTGGCCCCAGAAGTAGCAGTGGCTGCTCCTTGGGCTTGCCCAGGGATGTTTCTCATGAGATGGTTTTACCACATCAAGCCTGAAAAAGCACAGCCCCAGCTCAAGCAAATAAGCCAACAAATGGAGAGAGATGAGAACGGGAGGGTGCACGAGGAGCTGTCATCCTGTTGCAGTGGCCAAAGCGGGGACCCCAGTCCAGCCCACACCCCCACCAGCCATGAGAGAGTCACACAGCCAAGCTCCAAAGCCACAACAGATGGCATGGACGCGAGGAGGAAACACAGATACCTGAGTCCTTTCTTAGGCAAAGTGTTCCTATCAAGGTGCGGGTCACTGTAGGAAAGTTAAAACAAAAACAAGAACTTCAGAGAAGCACAGGGAAGGCAGGGAACATGAAGGGAGGCAGGCTCGGGGTGGGTCCTGGAGAAAGAGACTCACATCACCAGTGAGTGCTCCCTTATCCAGCTCAGCATGCAACACATCCACATCCACAGAAGGCAAAAGAAACCCAGTCCATGGTCTGAGCTGACACCAGCACATACTTTACCCCAAGTCACCAGGAGGCCTGAGTCGCTCAACCCCAATTGTTCCTCCTTTTCTGCAGGTTCAAAGCAACACTCAGGGGCTGCCCCATGTCAAAGCAGAGCCTTGCCTTCCGCCGCCCGGGGCCCATCTCTCCACTACCACCACCACTGCTCCTCAGAGAGAGGGAAGCCAGCATCCCTGCACCCCTAACTCTGGCCCATCCCCTAAATGCCACTGGTAATGACTTCAAGTGGGAGAAGGCACTTGTTGGAGGGTTTCAAGAAGCCAGCAGTCTGCATATTTGGAATTCATCTGTAACAAAGTGAATTCCACGTCCCTCTCTCAATTTCTGCAGTCCTTGTTGGGTGTAGCTAGGAGCTGAGCCCTGGGCCTGAGTCAGGGCATGTTACAACTTGCTGCTGATAAAGCCAAGGCATTTGGATTTCCAAAGAACAAGGGTTGAAAGGCTTGGTTTGTGAGCCTGAAAAAAAGCAAGGTTTTTGCTGTTGATGGGGTGAAAAGGATTTTCATTTTTTTTTTTTCTAGCATGAAACAACATCTGTTTGTTATGTTTGGCCAAGCCATCGTTCCCCGACAAACTTAAGGTCAATATCCATCTTGAGGCCCACCCACAGCTGGGGGCAAACACAAGCTTCTTCGCTTGTAAAGTCTCAACACTTCACATATTTTCATTATCATTACAGGGAATGGGCACACACAACACAACAGGCTGCAGACATAACGAGCCAAGCTGCAGCACAGGACTTTGAAAGAGAGAAGAGCCAGCTTCGTGGGGAGTGGGGGAGAGGGAGGCATAGGTGAGGCCCAGGCTGCACGGTGGGTGGTAGATCATTTCTGGACTTGGAAAAGGGGGAGGGGAAAGAGGAAAGGGTGGGAAGCTGGGAAGCAGGAACATGCCACAGGAGATGCAAGTGAGAGCTTCTACCGCCCCAGATCAAGTGTCAGGGTTTGACGTTGCCTTTCCAAGCCAGATTGAAGAGGCCAACCCAACTCCACCTCTCCCCGGGCTTTAGTGGACAGTGGAACAGACCCTCACTGGCATGTCTGGGTGTCACAGAGTACACTACAGCCACAAATACAAGCAGAAGCCTCAGGCCAACAGCCTCGCACGAAACACCTGGCTTGACAACGGAAGGGAGAGGAGGCCCACCTAGAGGCGCGGTGGGTCCCCAGCCTGTAATGTCATTACCTGTCCTGTTTCCTGGGTAGAGTACTTCTGCAGAACTTAGGGCTAGCAGCAGGGGAAGAGAGAGGGCTAGAAGTTCAGGCAGGTAGAAAACAAGAGAAGGAACATTAGCTTGAAAGGAAGGAGAGGTGTTGTTACATACAATAATTAGGACATTTTTCTCATTCCCAGTGCTGAGCCTGGCTTTCTTTCCTATGTACAGAAACTGGACACATATCTCTACGGCAGTGAAATCCAGGGCTCTGAAGACACTTTTAGTTTCTTGATTTCCCATAACTACGGCCAGCAGCTCTTCGGCAGGAGGATGTTGGCCTTGATAACCAAACAAATTTACCCAGCTACAAGAACACTCTACCACACACTCCATGGCTGCACCTGGTCATCTACTGGGCTTGCACAATTACAGTGGGAGGGGAGTGAAGCAGTCAATGAACAAACAGAATAAAATGAAAGGATTTCAAAGGCGGAATGCCATTTCAAATGGTAGCATAAATCTGCCCCCAAAAGACTTCCAGCAGCTCCTAGCACCAAGAATAACCACAGAGAAGAAGATAATAGGAAGCAGAGCCAAGCTGAATTCCATCCCACACTGGCTTCCCCATGAAAGACGGCAGCAATCAGAAAGAGAGAGATGCCACAGGCAGAGGTTGGTCAACATTTGAGATTCCTGACCTAATCTTTTACTTTTGGAAGGGTGTCTTTCTGAGAGACAGAGGCAGCTAGAGGGACAGCACCAACCTTTCTGACAGTGTGGTCTTCACACTGTTGGTTCTGACAAAGGGAGTCAGGGAGTCGTCCTTGGAGGAGGCGATCAGGCCGGTGGAGGAGTTGTGGCTCAGCCCCCCTCCACTGCCGAGGGAGATGTCAATGGACTCACAGCTGGTGTGGAGGCTGCTGACGGACTGGAAGCCCAGGCCGTCCTTGCTAACTGCCGAAGAGCTGCTGGCATTAGTGCCCCAGGTGAGGCTGTTGGAGGGGCCCGAGTGGGCTGAGCTGGGGCTGGAGGCTAGAGGAGACTGGTTGAGGTCCACATTCTTACTGTAGAGAGGACTGCTGCTCCCACTGCTCAGGACGCCACTGCCTGATGGGGAGTCTAAGTTACCTTGCTGGGTCATGGTGGCATGAGGATTGGAGATGACCACTGAATTTTTCATGTTTTCAGTTGTGGCGATGGGCACTTGCTTGGTAGGCTTCCCACCAAAGAGTCTGTGAAGAGACAAAGCATTGTGTGGATTGAACACACAGTGCCAAGGGGCACCGAGCTGTTATAGAAGGGTGGGACACAGGAGACGATGAGAATCCCTGGGGTGGTGGGCACAGTCATTCCTACTGTAATGGTTAAAGGCACTCCATGTGAAAAAGCAGGCCTGGACACTGGCGTATCACAAGATGCAACTGAGACTCTGACTCTATCTAAGCCAAAGGGTGATGGGGCATGATTTTCTACAGGTCACACTGCTCTAAGGTCTTGCTTCCCTTTCTTTCTATAAACAGACTAACTAGAAAATTGCCCTGGCTCAGGAAACATCTAGAGGGCAAAGAAAGAGCTGTCTTAATGGTCTCTGTATCCATGACCCCAGGCACAATGTAGACACTCAGTTTATGACAGCTCAACTCCAAGGGATTTGGTTTCTTTGATCTCTGAGCACATCACAAAGAACCAAGAACATGAGTCTAGATCTGGATGGGGCCTGGGAAAAGTATCATTACAGATTTATCCTCAATGGAAAGACTAGCCTGAAAGATGTGTCTTTTGTGGCCAGAGGGCTTGATTTATCTAATGACATACACAGAAATCTTGCAGGTTCACAATTTACAGATTTATCCTCAATGGAAAGACTAGCCTGAAAGATGTGCCTTTTGTGGCCAGAGGGCTTGATTTATCTAATGACATACACAGAAATCTTGCAGGTTCACAAGACACTAGACCAGATACACTGGGTATGAACTGTGTCTCTACGACAGATACACCAAAATGTCATTCCATGTCATTTCCCCCTGCTCATGATAAAAAATGTGTCATCAGACTACAGGGAATGGCACAAATGTGCCCCTCTTCCACTAGCAGAGAGCTCTCTGGTAGAACGGTGGAACTGTCTCAGAGTCAGAGGGTGGTCTACATTCCAGTAACACAAGGGCTTTAATCCACCCACTAAAACCCATGTGGAGTAAGTACCTCTGAAAAGGGACAAAACCATAACTTAAGATGACAGGCAGACTGCCTTGCACCCAGCTATCTGAAGTGGTGTCAGTCTGATCTCTTCCCTCTCCAAAGAATCCGACAAATCTTAGTTATCGTAAATACGAGCAAGTAATCAGTCAGTCAATCAATCCTTACTACAGTTTCTGGTGACAGAGGAGAAACACTTTTCACCTGGTGAAAACCAGGGAATGAAATATCCTCTTGTAGAATCTTGGCTTTAGGATGCTTACATACTTCCAGTGACAGGGACCTTACTACCTCAAAGGGTAACTGGCTTCATTGCCAAGCACTTCCAATTGTTAGAAAACCAAGATCAGATTCACCTTTTTCTGACTTTTATGCATGGCTCCTCATCTTTTTGTCTGCTAGTCCTTCAAATCATTGGAAGGGTTATCTTTCACACTTCACCTAAGATTTCTATGTACCACTGCACATAGAGAACTGAGAACACCTCAACGATTTAGGGAAAATGTAATTTACCAGGAATTGGTTGAAAAGAGCTCAATGCAGAGCCGAAGGAGCAACCTGCATGCACTTTCAAGTATTCTATTACAGTAGCCTATGGGTCTAGTAAAATGCCTTTGTAGTTACTAAAGGAAATCTATAATACCAAAGAGCAAATATTACATACAATACTTGAGGCAAGGAGCAGAGAAAATTTTCATTTACAAGGCAATCTGTTAAAACAACAAAGAGCAACCCAATAGAACCTTCCCCCTGAAAAAAAAGAACCATTACTGAAATTCTAATAATCAAGTCTAGACAAAGAACAGTGAACTGTTTCATTATACCTTTCATGTGGAATGCTTCTTCTGAAGTCTCTTCAAACATTCCAGTTCATCCCCAAATATGTACATGTGCATGTAATTTATATTTTTTCACTGCTTAATTTTCTATCCTTGGGACTTACTCTTTCTTATGACAAGGACTTTTTTTTGAAAGGTAAAATGAACTCTAAACTATATGGGTGCAGTTTGAGGATGGTCCAGGGGTTATTATGAGAAAACACGAACAGGGAAAAGTTGTATACATTTAAAAGAAACTTAAAAAACAGCAAATAATATTTTTACATTAAGAGCTTTTACCCAGTGTGGAAATGTGAGAAAATGTCTTTTTAAGATAGTAGGAAATTAATTTCTCCTTTTCAGAAATACTTCTGCTTTAAGAGGTTTTTTGTTTTTTAAAGAAAGCTATAATTTCTGTCTAACTTGGAATTAAGCACATAGAATAAAAATGAGAGGAAGGGATCTGGCTAAGATCACCACCTGCCATAATCAGGAAGCTCAGTCACAGAACTACCAAGACAAGATACAATTATCTATTTCATCTGAGCTAACCACACAAGTCTAAGGATGTATCAAGACCTCACGTCGGATGGTAGCTAACTTTCACTGAGTGCTTACTATGGCCAGACCTGGCTACAAAAAATTTTCACAAGAACCCTGAAAGTATCATTATCCCCATTTTACAGATGAGAAAACCGAGGCAAAATTGTTAACAAAGGTTACATGGCAGCTAGTTCAAATGAACCTAGGATTTAAACCCAGGATGACCGATTCCAGAAGCTTATTTTTCAACCCAACATTGGAAAACAGAAAGTCAACTACAAAATTGGCAGGATCTGACCAAACAGCTCTACCCAAGGACTGAAGTGGAGAAAAAGAGAGGCTGCTTAAACTAAGAAACAGGAAGTTATTAATCAGAGATGCCATTCCAAGTATGCCAGCTCTGCTCAGTTCCATGTATTTACTCACTTACCTGCGGAGCGTGGGAGAGGCCACATCTGGGTACTTGGCCGCTGGCTGCAGAGTGGCCTGAGCAGAGCTGGACACAGGCTGGGCTGCTGGGTTCACTTTCACTGAGTTACAGGAGGCCACGCTCTCATTGTCTGATGAGATGCCTTTCTCCTTATCTGTCTGGTTGACCAGACCCGGCAGAGAGCTGCCGAGGGCTGTTTTGGAAGGCTCCCTCAGCTTGGGCACCGGCAGGCCTGCTGACTTGCTGCTGATGTTGGAATCTATGCTGCTGGTACTGGACCTGTTCCCAGCCCCATTCCGGCTGTTGGACTTACTGGGCCTCGGCAAACTCCGGTACTGCAAGTTTGTCCGGGAGCTGAGAGACAGATACCCATCATCCTGATTCTGAGCTCCATCCATGCTCGTCTTCCGACCAGTGGACCGCCCGACAAGTGCAGACGACTTTGGGATTTTGCCCAGTGTGGCTGACCTGCTGGTGACAGTGGCCCCACTGGCTGTGATCATGGCTAGACCAGCAGCCGAGCCACTCTGCTTCTTGAACCCAAAGCTGTTGGCATTAGCAGTGGGTGTCCTGGAGCTGCTGGGGAGGGGCTTCTTGGATTCATCACCACTGCTGCGGCCTGCATCTGATGGGGAGCGCTTCACCTGGGAGGCTTTGGGAGAAAGCCTTCCTTTCTCAGATACCTTTGCATCGTCTGTTTTTCCTAAGACAGAAATCAGCAAGATTAGGCTGCAAACCAAGAACCCAGCTTATTAAACCTAGTCTGTTTAAGATGCTCCGCTCCACTGAAGAACTGGTTCATTTTTCCCACAGGGAAAGCAGTACCCTTGGGAGGCAGAGGAAGGAGCTTTTTATAAAGATAATCTAGTCTACGACTGTCACCGTGAGGCTGTTAAGAGATGTCAGTGATTTCACACATTTGCAAAGCAGTCTAAATTTAATCAGGATAAAGCAAAGACAACCAGTCACTGATATGTCTGGAGGAAAAAAGACCCTGCCTTTTACTGACCTTTCACCCTCTGTGCATTAAAAGGCCATCCCTAACGTTTCCAGGGGATACCCACACCCTTGTTTACACACATCCCCTAAATCATGGACAACATCAAGTCAACATACCAACAGCTTGTAAACACGTGCCGCAAATAGCCTGAGCTGGGTGCGTTAACGCTTACCCAGTATACAGTTAAACCAATTCAATACATCTCAGCAGTTGAACCATCTTCAGAGTTTAAGAGGCTCTCATGCTTACATATTTCCACTTAGAAAAAGGTAGGGAGGTAAACCTTTATGAAAGCAGATTGTTAGCAGAGCATAAACCCTAAGAAGAAATATATAACATCAAGTACTCGCTAAAGTTACTATGGTTTTGGCTTTCAAATTTACAACCGTGGATGCAAGACGGCGCTGGTCCCTTACTCACCAGTTCCTGGGGTCTTCAGAGTGCCTGCTGGGGCAGATGGCTTGGTCCTCGGCATGGTGATGCCCACCTGAGCTGTCATGCCTCGCCGCCAGGAGCCTGTCTGGGAGATGACGGAATTCTTCTTGCCTGACGTGCTTTTGTCGGACTCGTCAGACACATCAGAAGGATTCCGCCTCCACTTGGAACCTGGCTCCATCTTTATGCCGCTGTCTGACCCTCCGTCTGATTTCTTGACATCATCACCAGACCACAAGGAATTCCTCTCCACCTGCGAGTGTTTCTCAGCATCAGTCTGTGGACAGAGACTCCCTGAATTAGTCCTCCCCAAATCCCAGGCTAGGGAGCCCTTCACTTCAAAGACAAAATGCCAATACACTGGATGACTTAAGGGAAAAATAATCGATAATTACTTTTAAAATGTTTGGACTTTTGTACTCTGATTATCTTGTTTAGAAAGCCTGATTTTTTTTTTTTTTTTCCTGGTCTGAGGTAAGTATATAAATGTATCCTGAGAAGGGAGTGAGGGAGAGTAGAAGGGGCCAGGGGGGAAAAAAAAGAGAAAGAGCCCTAGGGAGGCGAACCAGCAGAGTAGATGGAGATGCGGTAGGAATTTAGCCACCCACCCTCTGCCCCTCGGGACAAGCCTCCTCTAACCCTGTGCTGGATGCCTAACCAGCATCCAGCCTCCCAGTCCGTTTGCCTTTGTTCCGTGTCTCCCTCTCGCTCACTGGCAGCAAGATCTTAGGATCTAGCACAGCGCCACAGTCTAACACACCGAGAGAGCGAGCAAGGGTGGCTGCTAGTTCCGCTGGCATCGGGGTGAGCCAAGAGCAGAGAGGAAACAAAATCCTCCAGAGGCTCTTCCCTCACATGCTAAACGCCAGTGGTGCCTGCTCCCACTTCAGCTTCATTTATATGCCCCTGCTCTGCTCCCCTTGTGGGATTTTGTTTAGACAAGGGATACAATTAGCCAGCTTTCTTTGGAAGAGCCCTGACCTGCTGACCACAGAACCCAGGAGGGGACAGAAGTGTGATGTTAATGATCTGCTGCAGCAAAAATGCAGAAAGCTAACGTGAATGCTTTGGAGGACTCCCTGGGGTTTGAGGCCAGTTCGAGGACACCAGGAGGGAGAAATGGCACCTTGACCAGGGAAGGAGGTTGGCAACACCTTCGGGGTGGCTGCACTAAGATACGGATGCAGAAAGCTAACGTGAATGCTTTGGAGGACTCCCTGGGGTTTGAGGCCAGTTCGAGGACACCAGGAGGGAGAAGTGGCACCTTGACCAGGGAAGGAGGTTGGCAACACCTTCGGGGTGGCTGCACTAAGATACGGAGAGGGCACCATCCACAAGGTGGGAAATTAAAATGAACACCCGGCAAGAACCTGGCCTAGTGCCTGCCATCCAAGAGGGGTACAAATGCCTGCTTCCAAAGACACAATGGCCAATAGGGACAAACGCAAAATACAGGACAAGCAGCCCGAGTTTATTTGCCTTTCCCTCCCTGCAGCCCCTTTTTCCTTTAGAATTTCACTTGTCCGTCACAGCCACCTTACGAGTGCCTTCATTTGTTTGGTCATTCCCCAAACACAGGCTGAGTTCCAGCTAGGGACGAGGCACCAGAGGTAGGAGGACAAAATATGCCGCCCAACTGTGAGAAGCTCAGCATTTAATTCTGGCAGGGGACAAAGAGCAGGCACTCAGTCAGGCTTGATGAGTAGATGA